TAACAAGAGTTGAAAGGGACCTGAGAGCAGTGGTGAAATCTAAAATTTGTTACTACCAGTTCTGTGGGCGTGGCTTGGGGGGGTAATGTGACTGGGTGGGCGTGGCCAAGGTTTTATTTTTTTTACTTTTAAAACCATTTTTTACATGTAAAACCATGTTAAAAATGCTTTCAAAAGGCTCTGACGATCCCAGCTGAGTTGCCTGATCGTCAGAGGGCTTTTAAAAAAAACCCTCTGCTGATCAGGCAACTCAGCTGGGATCGTCAGAGTTTGGATCATCAGAGCCATTTAAAAGAAAAAACGTTTTTTTTCTTTTAAATGGCTCTGACGATCCCAGCTGAGTTGCCTGATCGACAGGCAACTCAGCTGGGATCGTCAGAGCTTGGATCGTCAGAGGCATTTAAAAGAAAAAAAGCTCTGATGATCGCGCGGCTCAGCTGGGCATGGGGGGGCGGGGGCAGGGATTTTTGCTACCAGTTCTCCAAACTGCCCGCCGCCATTGCTACCTACTCGCCCGAGCCGGTCCAAACCGGGAGCATTTCACTCTTGCCTTAGAGGTCTTCTAGTCCAGCCCCTGTCAGGTGCATGCAACCAGATTAGAATAGAATAGCATAACAGAGTTGGAAGGGACCTTGGAGGTCTTCTAGTCCAACCCCCTGCTCAGGCAGGAGACCCTATACCATTCCAGACAAATGGCTGTCTTTTCTTAAAAGCCTCCAGTGATGGAGCATTCACAACTTCTGGAGGCAAGTCATTCCACTGATTGTTCTAACTACCAGGAAATTTCTCCTTAGTTCTAAGTTGCTTCTCTCCTTGATTAGGTTCCACCCATTGCTTCTTGTCCTGCCCTCAAGTGCTTTGGAGAATAGCTTGACTCCCTCTTCTTTGGGGCAGCCCCTGAGACATCGGAAGACTGCTATCATGTCTCCCCTAGTCCTTCTTTTCATTAGGTTAGACATACCCAGTTCCTGCAACCGTTCTTCATATGTTTTAGCCTCCAGTCCTCCCCTAATCATCTTTGTTGCTCTTCTCTGCACTCTTTCTAGAGTCTCCACATCTTGTTTTGGATCACGGTGACCAAAACTGGATGCAATATTCCAGGTGTGGTCTTACCAAGGCTTTGTAGAGCAGTACTAGGACTTCATGTGATCTTGATTTGATCTCTCTGTTACTAGCAGCCTTTGGCAGTTATGAAGATCGGCAAATGGGAGGAGGTGTTCAGAGCGACCCCACCCCCTCAACCTTTTAACGCTGCTCACGCCGGTAGTTCTCCCGGGATTGTGACAGTACAAATGACAATGAACAGATGAGTCCACATTCACTACTTCTTGTTCCTTGATAGCGAATGTTGCAATTCAAAGTTTCAAATCTATCCAGAAAAGTTTAAAAAACAGAACAAAAATATTTTGTGTTTCCCAAGGTAACATGCCTAGACTGTTTCTTCTTTTGCCAAGATTATTTTAGATTAGTAAGGTAAAGGTAAAGGTTCCTCTCGAACATATGTGCTAGTCGTTCCCGATTCTAGGGGGCGGTGCTCATCTCCGTTTCAAAGCCGAAGAGCCGGCGCTGTCCGAAGACGTCTCCGTGGTCATGTGGCCGGCATGACTAAACGCCAAAGGCGCACGGAACGCTGTTACCTTCCCACCAAAGGTGGTCCCTATTTTTCTACTTGCATTTTTTACGTGCTTTCGAACTGCTAGGTTGGCAGAAGCTGGGACAAGTAACGGGAGCTCACCCCATTACGCAGCACTAGGGATTCGAACCGCTGAACTGCCGACCTTTCGATTGACAAAGTCAGTGTCTTAAAACCACCGCGTCCCTGGTTTAACCCAAACGGTGGCTTGGGTTAAAGAGGTCTGTTAGAAAGAAGACAGAGGAGGAAAATGAAGAAAAAAAAGAAAAAAAAGAACAAAACCCAAATAAATGCTGAATTTCCACCCGAGGCGTTTCGAAAGACAAAATGCCATCTCTGCTTTTTTTTTTTATATTAAAAAAATTTATTGAGATGATGTAATTACAAGCATTTAAAAATTATTTGCAACTCACTGGCCCTGAGTAAAGGCATTCTTATTTTGCTTTGTTTACATTCATTCAGTTCACTCCCTTAAACCCCACACCTCGAAGAAAATAGGAAGCGCCATCTTCAACAGATTATAATTTACTTAAGAAAATAATAAAAAAAAGGAGTTTTCCTTTAAAAAGAAAAGAAAGCAATGTGACAAGCACGATTTCCTTTCGAGTTTGCATATGGCTGCAGCTAATAGGTTTCATTCTTAGTTCTACTCTGAGCTGCCAGCAATTCTCGGTATACATGGGGAATTTCCGAGTGAATTCTTACAAGGGGCTCTTTTCCAAAATCTTTTTTACATCGATTTAACAGATTTTCTGTTCCTTTTACCACTGGCTAAGAGAGTAGAGAAATGCCAAATGTTACAACAGGAAGATTTTTTTTTTCTCTTTTTCTTACCAAATAGTCCCACCGTTGCCCTTTCGAAGGGCAATCATGCATTAATTGTAATGTGTACTTTGGCTTCAAAGGAACAAACATTGTGATTCAGTTCCCGAATATGGAAAACACACTGTTCCAGTTTCAATTTCTCTCACTCTTTTAATATCTATCGTAAGCCAGACTCTTTTATTTTTTTCTTCCCCCACTCTCCCCAGATGCCATATTTTCATAAATTGCTTTTGGCCAGACGCCTGTAAGTTTGGATGATGGGCTGTGTGGATGAAGGACAAACGACAACACAGACACGCATTCCCACCCCCCCTCATCGTCATCATCTAACCCCAAAATACCGGACACGATCCTGTTCTCGGGATTTCTTGCCTTCTCAAAATTGTAGCTTTTCGTTCGGCAGCAATGATGGTTTCCCCCGTTGGGATTGGGTTAGACTCGACTGCTTCATATTCTTTTTGGCTAATATATACGGTGGGTTACTTAGCTGGTAAGACGGGTGGAGCTGAAGTTGCTTTGAAGCTTTGGTGGGAAAGGAGAAGAAGTAACTGTAGGAAAGGGGCAGCACCCTTTTCTCTCTTTTTTGTATGTGTTTGTGTTACGATTTTCATTTGCTGCCATTTTTAATGGAAGGTACACATTTCTGTCAGGGGCGAATTTCATTTCGCTTTGGAAAGAAATGAAAAGCAAAGGGTTTTTGCTCATCAAGGTGCCTCCATGAGCCAAGATGACACCTGTGGATGTGAGTTGAAGCCCCATCCTCTTTTTACATACAGGCTTTGACCACGCAATTAGTCCACAATTTGACCGCTTTAAAAACACCCCTTCCTGGAAGTTTCTATGGTTTTTTTTTTTCTTAGAAAGGAAGTTTCTAGTTCTTTTTAAGGAACACTCCTGCAAAAACGTGGGTAAGAAGTCAGCTAGCCTGTATCTTGGATTGTGCGTACTCACCACCTTGAGAACCCCCAACGTAACACTCCCTTTTTGAAAAGTAAGCTTCTAGCCCTTAACAATTCGGAAAACAGGCTTCAAAAAGCTGCGATGAAATTTCCAAAACAAGAAAACAAGGTTTCCGGTGATGGGAAGTGAAAATGAAATTCAAGACAAGTCTTTGTGCTTCTCAGCTCGGGAGAAGCAGGCAATTATTACACAAAGTAAAGAAAAAAAAAACAGATGCAAATATACTTCATTTGCCCCAAAGAAACGAGGGATATAGTCCGTTACTTTTTCTGACGCTGTTTAAATTACTGTGGAATTTTTTTATTTTTATTTTTACTTCTTTCGTGTATGATTTACATGATCTTGTCCATGGCTGTTAGGAAAAAAACAACAATACCCTTATATAGCCAGCATTTTGTCATGATAAAAGAACCTCCGAACTTAATGAGGAATAACTTCATTTGTGGTATAGAAAGAGGGATGACTTCAACCTCGAAGGAGTTTAACAGAACAGTCTTCCTACCAACCAAAGGCACATACAAATCTCCTCTTAAGGCTACGAAGCTCATCGGTCGTCGCGAGAATCCAGAACACTGAAACGTAATAAAAATAGTAGTCTTCAGTATTCACATCCACCTAAGAAATGAGGAAGATGACTAGAAAACTTCGAGGGAAGGAGGGTGTGTGCGTGGATAGAGCAGAAGCGAAGGGAACGGAGACGAAGCTCAGCCCCAGAGATTCAATTTCACCTCTCTGAGCTGTGAAGGCCACTTCCTGGGAAAATTATAGCCACCATTTTGAAAATTCTACACCCTTCCTTCTCTTTGGAGGACCAACTATTTACCTCACGGACCAGAGGCGGCTGGCTTTGGGCCCCAACCCAAAGAGGGGGAGGGACACCGAAAAAACCCATCTCGCTGGCCCACACACGTTCTTCAGCCTTGCAGATGAAATACCTTTTAGTAACCATCCGGCAAAAGAAAATATCCACCTTCATCAGGTGTGGTTTCTGCATAACCCTTTCTCGAAGCTGGGCCATCCTGCATGAATCTCCTGCCTTTTATACTGATTTCTGGGATCGTTTCTCTGACACATTTCGACAGTGCTCAGGCGCCCGGATTCGGTCCGTGTGCTTTGAGGAGCCAACGCTGACCAACAACACTCCCCAAACGACGGCATCCACTTTCTATCCTCGGCCACCAGGAAGGCGTTTTTTTGGTATTTCTCATGCTCCAAAACCATGGATTGCAGTCCAACGTTCTTTGATCTATCTTTGTGCCGACGGATGCCGACTGCAAGCAGTTTTGGCCTCTGTAGTTTCTCTCCGATGCCTCTTTTGCCCGCCGACCCTCGATTTTTTTATTTTTTGTTTTTTTTCCTACAGAGGCTCTCGTGAGAATCTACGCCGACCCACAGTTGTGCTAATTTCCATAGGAAAGCATTCAGAATACGCAGCCCCCTGACGTTCTGCTCTACAAAAAGGAATTTAAAAAAAAGCCCAAATATTACTTGGACGGGTTAATTAGAAATTAATTAGAAATATATATATATTTCTAATTAATTTCTAATTAACCCGTCCAAGTAATATTTGGGCTTTTTTAAAAATTCCTTTTTATATAGATATATATATAAAACTGACCAATCGAAAACAAAACAAAAAAATACCAAGCCCAAGGCGAGACAGGTCCTAAAAGCCACCAGGCGAAAGGGCTATGCTCTCTTCTTTCAACCACCCTTGCCAATCTGTTTCTTCGCTAAGGTGCTTGGAGGTCCTGCCAGTCCGAGATAAATGCCAAGTCCTGGAGCCCTGTTTTCCCAGCCCAATGGATCTCCAGAGACGGTTTCTCCATCAATTCACGGTGAAGGAAGTGGATCAAATCCTCAGCACTCGTCTTCCTGGTAGATCTGCTCATCCAGTTCCTGAGATTCCAGATGTTCTAAGCGGTCAGTGCGGCCGCTCATAATTTCATCTGGCGTCTTCATGAACCTGCAGAAACAAAGAGCGCGTAGTAAGGTGGGGTGGAGGGCAGCAGTGTTTAATTCTTCTTATTCTTATTATTTTACTGGCGCTGGTGTTTCTGCACTGCTTCTGAGAACTTTGGACAACAGGATTTGTGAGCTGCGGCCAATTTTTCCGGCGACCACTACGTTGCAAACTGTTAATTATTTTAACCAATCGAAATGGGGAAACTCAGTTTTCAAACTATCAGTAGCGACCAGGCCTATAATGGTGGGAAGAATTTTGAGTTGGCTATTGGCATTGCTAATGACAAGAACATTAAGGTAAAGGTTCCCCTCGCACGTATGTGCTGGTCGTTCCCGACTCTAGGGGGCAGTGCTCATCTCCGTTTCAAAGCCGAAGAGCCATCTCTGTGGTCACGTGGCTGGCATGACTCAACGCCAAAGGTGCACGGAATACTGTTACCTTCCCACCAAAGGTGGTCCCTATTTTTCTACTTGCATTTTTACATGCTTTCGAACTGCTAGGTTGGCAGAAGCTGGGATAAGTAACGGGAGCTCACCCCGTTACGCGGCACTAGGGATTCGAACCGCTGAACTGCCGACCTTTCGATCGAAAAGCTCATCGCCTTAGTCACTGAGCCACCGCATCCCTATAGACAAGGACATTAGAATGCATATAAAAGATTTAGTAGCCAGCCATGATTTATCTTATTGAGGGAACTCTAAAAGATGTGTATCTTCTCAGTACACGGGGAGCCCTTAATTTATGACTGCTCACTTAGTGACAAATTATGACACCCTTCCCCAAAAATGAATGACCTGATTTCAAAGTTACAACAGCCAGAAACACACACAGACCCTTGATGATCACATGACTGCATTTTGGATTGTTGGCTACTGGCTCATCTTTACAGCTATTTGCAGCATCCTGCGATCACCACGTGGCCATGTTTTCTCACGGTTTTTTTTTTTGGTTTTTTTTTTGCTGGTTTCAACATTTACTTCCAACAAAAAATGCCCACTAGGTAAAATGGATTCACTTAATGGCTGCAGCACTTGCTTAATGACTGTTAGGAAATTATTATTACTTACTGTAACTTGTTGGGTTGGCAATATATAAACCCTCAATATAGCTTTAAGATTGCTGTATTGCACCATACTGTGTCCTGATTGGTTAGCTCTGTAGCCAATCTCCTTAAGAGGGAGCTAGAAACATGGTTTGTTTCCCTTTGCTGTTCTTGCTCTCTGATATTTCTGTATGCTACTGTTTGCAAATCCAGAAGAACTGTTTATTGTGAATGACTACGACGACTGGTAAGAAGACTTTGTTATTGGATTATCCCTGGACTGTCGTTTTGCTATCTCCTGCTTTATATGTGTATGACCTGGACTGTTTATTGGACTGTGCCTTACTATTTTCTGAAAGTAAACACAACTCAGTGTATCTGTGTGTTGGCTGTGTTTATTCGTAACTACTCTCAATCGCTTTCACGTGCACACCCTTGCTACTCAAGGGTTACTCTGCGAATTCCTTAACAATGACCATCAGAAAAAAAGTCATAAAATAGGGTGGGATTATGTGGTGACCCGGTTAAGAAATTTAAAGACTCATGACTGCAATTCCGGGATCAATTATAGTCATAAATTGAGGCTGACCTGTATATGGGTTGTCCTCAACTCACAACTACAATTGAGCTCACAATTTCTGTTTGCTAAGCAAGAATTCTGCCCCATTTTACAACTTTTCTTGCCACGTTGTTAAGTGAATCACTGCAGTTGTTAAATTAGTAACATGGTTGTTAAGTGAATCTGTCTTCCCCATTGACTTTGCTTGACAAGAAGGTCTCAAAAGGTGATCTTGAGACATAGCAACTGTCATAAACATGAACCAATTGCCAACCACCTAAAGTTTGAGCAGGTGCCCACGGGATGCAGCAATGGTCGTAACTGTGAAAAACAGTCATGTGTCACTTTTTTTCAGTGCCGTTGTAACTTTGAATGGTCACTAAACAAACTGTTGTAAGTCAAGGACTACCTGTACAGCTGAGAAATCAGGAGTTTAAATAAGCTTCGGTATTTCCAGAACTAATGTTCCCTTTGAGTCAGTGATGAAATGTAAAATTTGTTACTACTGGTTCTGTGGGCATGGCTTGGAGGGGTAATGTGACTGGGTGGGCATGGCCAACTTTTTTGTTTTTTTTACTTTTAAAAGCATTTTTTCTACAACCTCTTCGGCCAAAGAGGTTGCAAAAAAAAATGCTTTTAAAAGCTTCTGACGATCAGGCAACTCAGCTGGGATCGTCAGAGGCTTTTAAAAGCATTTTTTTTTCTATAATCTCTTCAGCCGAAGACAAAAAAGTGCTTCTTATTGTCCGAAAAATACGATCACACAAAAATTCTGTGATCAACAGAACCAAGATGCTTCCACAAAATTTGGAACGCACAAAAGCACAAAATAAATAAATAAATAAAAAAATAAATAAAAAAAATCACCATTACCTGAACAAAAGTCTTTGTCCTGGCTCCTTTCTGATAATATTTAGCTTGTAGTAGTGGCGCAGGGCACGAGACATTTTCTCGTAGGTCATATTTGTTCGGTTCTGTTTCATTTAAGACAAAGAAAAGCAAGAATTAAAACAAGTTACCAAAACGATAAAGGAAAGAAGGGTTGGCTAAACCCCGGTTCACATTCCCGGTCCCTTGTTTTTGCTTGCCTTCTCTTATGTCCGTGATGGCGAACCTGTGGCACGCGGAGCCATATTGGTGGACACGCAAGCGTTGCTCTAGGTCAGCTCCAGTGCGCATGCGTGCACCGGCCAGCTGATTTTCAGGCCTTCTGGTCCCACCAGAAGTTGGCAAATGGGCCGTTTCTGGCCTCCGGAGGGCCTCTGAGGGGTTGGGGAAGGCCATTTTTGCCCTCCCCAGGCTCCTAGAAAGCCCCTGGAGCCTGGGGAGGACGAAAAAACAGGCCTACCAGGCTCACCGGGCCATCATGTGCCAAAAGTGGTGAGCGTGGGCGGGTCGTGCACACATGAGTGGGGATGGGGTGGGGCATATTGAATTATGGGTATGGGCACGCGTGTGCACAAACCCCCCCATGCTCCCCGCTTTTGGCACGCGACGGCAAAAAGGTTAGTCATCACTGTCTTATGTCATGCTAGATAACACTGAGCCCATGAAATTGTATAGCCTACAACTTGGGAGGAAATTAATAAATCAACATATGAGATTGAATAGGCTTGATTCTTAAGGGTTCCCACCTCTTTCGTTTATCTTAAATATGTAAGCAGTTGGGACTATTGTAATGCACTCTAGATGGGGCTGCCTTTGAAGGTGATTTGGAAGCTACTGGTCCAGAATGTGGTGGCACAGGACAGAACTGGACAGTCCTTGGTATGCTCATGATGCACCACTGATCTATGCACTCACTAGATGCCAGTAAGCTTCTGGGTGCAATTCAGGATGTTGATTATCATCTACAAAGCTCTTGATGGCTTAGAACCAGGAGTCAGCTTTTCCAGGTCAATCGGGCAAGAAACACAAACCAGATAACTAATTTTACTTTATTGCAAGGCTACATTAACAGAATCTTGCAAGTCTAAAAGTACGAACTTCCCACCAACGTTTTTTAACAGTTTGGCCTATTAGACTGAGTCAGTAATGGGATTCAGCCGGTTTGGGCTGGTTCAGGCGAACTGGTAGTTAAATTGCTGGCTGGCTCCGCCTCTCCCTGCCTCTTCCAGGAGTCGTCCCCCCCGCTGCGCTTCATTTTGGTTCCTAGGTAAGTGCAGGGAGGCCTCCTAGGCCCAAAACGGGGCACAAGGGGGTGGGGTGTGCCCTCCCACAGCCCGTTTTTGGTCCCAGACTTCAGGGAGGCCTACTAGGCCCAAAACGGGGTGTAGGGGGCAGCGCATCCCCCCTCTGGCCCGTTTTTGCTCCCAGGGGGGTGCAGGGGGTCCCTTCTCCTCCATCCACATATTCCATTACACCAAGTTTCTGCCCATCCGGTACACACAAGCAGAGTTGGGGTGCTTTGAGACCCTTCAGACATACAAGACATCAATTGAGACTCCAGAAGCATGCCATTTTCTTTGTCGCCCTCTGGAATGGCATCTCCCCACAGATCTGTCTAGCTCCCTTCTCCCCCCCCAACCCCGACAATGTTCTGGAACGCTTTAAAGACTGAAGAAACTACTTGGACAAGCGGTGAAATGTTTCAAGCAAAAAAAGAAGAGAAGAGAAGCCTAACCGCCATGACTCAACTTCCAGACTTTAAGAACTTGGCTGTCCAACCAGGCCTTGGAGTGGTTGGGTGTTTGTTGAGCTTTGTTGGTTGTGTTTTCTATCTGAGGGAGTGTGTTTGTCCGGATGTACGGGATTTCATTTCTAGTGTTGTTGTTGTTTTTAATTGTTTGCTATTTTTAGTGTAAGCTGCCCAGAGACACTTTGGAGTCAGGCAACCTCTAAATTTCGTAAACAAATGAACAAACAAACAAAGAAGCTGCTCTTGCACAGAAGTTCAAAAGGCTCAGCCGGATAGGGCTGGAGGCCTGTCTAGACATGGCCATCTACCAGCGAGAGGAGGAAGGCTAAAAAAAGTCAAGATGGAGGTGGTACCTGCATGACTGAAACTCCCACCCTTTTAAACATGCGTTGCACATGCAATGTGAGTTGGGAGAGCAAAATCTGTCTCCAAAATTGCCTCACTTCTGGGCATCCTTCATACTACCATGTTTCCCCGAAAATAAGACCCTGTCTTATATTATTTTGAACTCTGAAATAAGCGCTTGGCCTTATTGCCATGCGCTCAAAAGCCCGATTGGGCTCATTATCAGGGGATGTCTTATTTTGAGGGAAACAGGGTACTACCCTGCTACTACTAAGTCTGCATGTTGCCAATCCTTCCAACAAAAAAGCAACATAATAAAGCAACCCAATTCTCACCTGCAAACAGCATAAAATGCATAGAATTTGTTTTTTTAAAAAACCAATAACTAGCAATGACAACACACGGCAAAAAAAGAAAAAGAAAGAGGGAGGGAGGGAGGGAGGGAGAAAGGAAGGAAGGAAAAAGAAAGAAAAAGAAAGAAAGAAAAAGAAAGGGAAGAAGGAAGGATGGAAGAAAAAAAGAAAGAGGGAGGGAGGAAGGAAGGATGGATGGAGGAAAGAAAGAAAGAAAGAAAGAAAGAAAGAAAGAAAGAAAGAGAAGAAAGAAGGAGGGAGGGAGGAAGGATGGATGGAAGGAAGGAAGGAAGAAAAAGAAAGAGAAGAAAGAAAGAGGGAGGGAGGGAGGGAGGGAGGAAGGAAGAAAGAAAGAGGGAGGGAGGGAGGGAAGAAGGATGGAAGAAAGAAAGAAAGAAAGAAAGAAAGAAAGAAAGAAAGAAAGAAAGAAAGAAAGAAGAAAGGGAGGGAGGGAGGAAGGATGGAAGGAAGAAAGAAAGAGGGAGGGAGGAAGGATGGAAGAAAGAAAGAAAGAAAGAAAGAAAGAAAGAAAGAAAGAAAGAAAGAAAGAAAGAAAGAAAGAGAAAGAAAGAAAGAAAGAAAGAAAGAAAGAAAGAAAGAAAGAAAGAATCTGATCACATATGATCCTTCCATTGGTTTCCACCAATTTCCAGACAGCGGTGATCTCCGGGAGAGTGGGGGAAGAGACAGACTGGGAAGCTTTTCCTGAAGGAGGAATTCTGCTATTAAGTCAATTGCCTACGATCAAAATTAGGAGCAGGTGCAATCTGCCCATGTCTTTTTAGCCCTCCCCATCAACATAAAGAGTGGGGAGCAGAGAAAGGACTTTGCTGTTGGAAGAGACTACATAAGCAGACGTCACTTGAAAGGAATGAAAGCATGTACTAGAATTCCTAAGCACCTACTCATCAGAGCCTTGAGCCTTGCTCCTTGCACTACACTGGGCCCCGTCCTTGCTAGTGTAGACTTTCCTGCCAGAAATTTGAGAAGGAAAGTCCTCACACCAGCCATGGTCCGAAGTAGCCAATGAACCCTGCCGTCTTCCTCGGATATTTGCAATAAGCACACCCCAAATAAGGACATGTCAGATCGTCCCCCTCCCACAAGATTCCCAGAATGCACTAGTGATGGGAAAACCATGCCCAAAATGGTTCACGTTTTTGGGAAACGAATCTTCAAGAATGAAAAATGGCTCCCAGAGTTCCTGGTGTGAATGGGATTCACAGGGATCTCTGGGACGGTGGGTTTTGCATAGGTCTAGAGAGCCATTCTGAATATTTTTTACTCGTCTTAAGTGTGGGAAATTTCCACATGTTCAGTTAGTAATGCAGAAGAAATTAAATAGGGGAGAAATACATCTTCTTCTCTAAAGCGGTATTTTTATCCTTATTTTATTTTACTATCTATCTATCTATCTATCTATCTATCTATCTATCTATCTATCTATCTATCCATCCATCCATCCATCCATCCATCCATCCATCTATTCATCCATCCATCCATCATCTATCTATCTGAACATATTTATCATATCATATCTATCTATGTCTGTCTGTCTGTCAGTCAGTCATCTATTTATCTGATCGTATCTCTCTCTCTCTCTCTCCCCCTACCTACCTACCTACCTACCTATCTATCTGGAACATCTGGCCCCCCTTCACATTAACAGTGGGCAGATTAACAACAGATCCCACCTCCCCCCATCCTGCTACTGCCCTCCCCATCTTTTAATCAGGCCACAGAATTTGGATCTTCCTATCCAACATATAGTGAGGGAATGCTCTAACAGAAGGTATCCAGGAGATTTTAGGGACTTCCTCTGCGTAACAACGACAGCTACTGACTGGATCTCCAAACTCGACATTAAACTCTGAAATGTTATTTCTGTTTTCCTCTTATGTTTTCTTACTGCTCTTTTTCTAATTGTTTTAACTTGTAAAAATGAAGTGTTTTAATATTGTGTGTGAACAGCTATACGCTAAATAAAATAAATGTAGATCTTCATAGTATTTTATTTATGTCTTTCAGTTTATGTATTCTTTTTCTCTTTTTAAGATTGTAAGCAAGCCAGAATTACCCTTTGGTAAGATGGGCACCCAATACATTTTTACAAACAAACAAATACCACCATGGTTTATAGAAGATTATAGAATTTCTCTCTCTCTTTTTTTTAGCAGAATCGTTTTTATTCTTTTTCCAACTCCTCCCCAATCATTTAATTCACAATCTCTGCAAGATAACCACCCCCATCATGGGTCCTTTGTACCTTATGGTTTCCCCATAGCCGGGCCAGCCCATTGGGGTCCACTATCCGAAATATTTTGGATTCTCTGTCCTCCCATCGGATGAAATTTTCGTACCGGCTGTCGGAGAGCAACTGATAGACGTAATCCCAAAGGAGTCTGCAGTCTGGAAAGAGAACGACAGAAAAGTCATCAAAAGATTCCTGCTGGAAACAAATTGGCTAATTGGCCACCAATGACTCACCTCCAGGAAAGATGCCAGAAATTGTCATATGTTACTTTATTTCTCTGCATAAAGTATTGAGATACTGTTGCTCCTTGCAAAGAATCCCAAACCCATTGACACCAATTATAAAGCGGTATTTTAGAATAAAACCGATCCGTTATAAAGACAGGTGCCAGGAGGTGTTAATAGCCGAGATGTGCCAAGAGAAAAAGAAGCTGCGGTGGCACAGTGGTTAGAATGCAGTATTGCAGGCTAACTCTGCCGACTGCCAGCAGTTCGATCCCGATTGGCTCAAGGTTGACTCAGCCTTCCATCCTTCGGAAGGTCGGTAAAATGAGAACCCACATCATGGGGGACAATATGCTGACTCTGTAAACCGCTTAGAGAGGGCTGTAAAGTGGTATATACTGTATTTTTCGGAGTATAAGACGCACCTTAGTTTTTGGGGAGGAAAATAAGAAAAAAAGCGGGTGATTGGCGGGTGGATCAGCCTCCCGGAATACTCCCCAATCAGCTGTTCCCAGAGGTGAATTTTAGCAACAGGTTTCTTGGTTGTGAGCTCTGTGCCTTGCTTTCTTTGCTGCCTCTGAAACCTCTGTTTCAGAGCCTTTTTTTTCCTGCTTCTGAAAGCCTCCAAAACAGAATATAAATTACCTAACTGTGCGGATGCTGCCATGGTCATAAGTGTGAAAAAATGTTCGTAAGCCACTTTTTTCAGTGCCGTTGTAACTTTAAACAGTCACTAAACGAAACGTCAGTCGAGGACTACCTGTATAGATTAGCAGAATCATGCACCATAAACCTAATACGACTTCAGCAACATTTGACTTGCCTGTATCTAACACTCAGCTTTTCCATAAAAACATTAAAAGCAGAGCAATTATTCTGGAGGTATTACAGTTACATCCCTTGACTGACGCAGTGGTGGGTTGCCCCCGGTTCGCACCGGTTCTATAGAACTGGTAGTAAAACCGGCGGGAGGCCCCGCCCACCGACATCATCAAAATGCTTCTACGCATGTGCAGAAGAGCACGTGCGAGTGAAGTGAGTGAGCGCGCAGCCCCACTGCGAACCAGTAGTAAAGGTAAGTAGAACCCCTGGACTGACGGACTGAATTTTTCTTCTAATATATATTCCAAAAAGGCCAATGAATTATCGCAGGCTGCCTGCAATTTGGCAGTTCAAATCTCCCCAGGCTCAAGGTTGACTCAGCCTTCCATCCTTCCGAGATCGGTAAAATGAGGACCCAGATTGTTGGGGGCAAGATGCTGACTCTGTAAACCGCTTAGGGAGGGCTGTAAAGCACTGTGAAACGGGATATAAATCTAAGTCAGTGGTGATATTCAGCCAGTTCTATCCGGTTTGGGCAAACCGGTAGCAGTGGCTGTGGGAAGCTCCGCCCACCCGCCCATCATCATGTCCCATTTTTGGCACTCTGTGCATGCACTTACATTTGCCAACCGGTAGTGAAAGTAAGTGAATACTACCCCTGGTCTAAGTGCTATTGCTATCTAGACCAGATTAGTAGGCTGGCTGGGGAATTTTGAGAACTGAAGTCCACACAGCTGAAAAGTCGCCAAATTTGATTAACACTGCCTTAAAATCCTATTTAGCTGCAGAAATACAGGGATTCTTCGAAGAATAACTTTCTTTTTACTTTCCCGCTCTTTTCCTAAATCTTCTTTCCCAAGCTATTTTTATACTTTCCTTCCTTAAGAGAAATGGCAGTTTGCATGTGTGGTTAAAAAAAAATAATAATCCCAGAACAAAAAGCAGATGGAGAGGCAAGAATCGTATTTCCTTCCCTTTCCTTGTTGCCAATTCCGGTTTAGTTCCGCCCTATCCTGCTTATGGTTAGGATCAACGGAAAACAGAACTTCTCACAAATCTCTCAAGGGTGTGTGTGGTTTTTTTTTATACAAAGGGTGGTATTACAAAGAGAATAAATGATGAGAAATAATTTGAGTTCTGTTCTCCTGATGTTCTATTAGGGCAAAAAAAAAAAATAAAAAAAAAATCCCCTTCTCCTGTGACAATCTTCTAGTTTCCTTCTTAGCTGATAAAAGAAATCGCCCCACTTTCAAATTGGAAAAAAAAGAGTCAGAAGAAAAATGGTGAACACACAAAAAAAACCGTGTGTTTTATTGGCCAGCCATTTAACAAGACGAAGAAAACAAGCAGAAAATCAGAAGGTGGCTCTCGGAGGAGATTAGAGGTAGTCCTCGATTTATGACCACAACTGAGCCCAAAATTTCTGTTGCTAAGTGAGGCAGTTGTGAAATTAACAGAACCATGCGATTCAATTCAGTAAATCAGTGAAACAAGTTGCCTCCAGAACACTGGAAGTTTTTAAGAAGAGACAGGACAACCATTTGTCTAAAATCGTATATAGGGCTTCCTGCCTAAGCAAGGGGTTGGACTAGAAGACCTCCAAGGTCCCTTCCAACTCTGGTTGGAATAAATACTATATGTCAGTTGTCAAGTGCCTGAATTCTGATCACGTGACCAATGGTCTGCTGCAATGGTCATAAGTGTGAAAAATGGTCATAAATCACTTTTTAAGATTGCTGTATTGCATCATACTGTGTCCTGATTGGTTAGCTCTGTAGCCAATCTCTTTAAGAGGGAGCTAGAAACATGGTTTGTTTCTCTTTGCTGTTCTTGCTCTCTGATATCTCTGTATGCTACTGTTTGCAAATCCAGAAGAACTGTTTGTTGTGAATGACTACGACGACTGGTAAGAAGACTTTGTTATTGGATTATCCCTGGACTGTCGTTTTGCTATCTCCTGCTTTATATGTGTATGACCTGGACTGTTTACTGGACTGTGCTTTACTATTTCCTGAAAGTAAACACACTTTAAATTTATGTACAGGTAGTCCTCCACACATGACTGCAATGGAGTCCAAAATTATTTCGCTAAGCGAGACAGTTGTTAAATGAATTTTTGCCCCATTTTTACGACCTTTCTTGCCAAAGTTGTTAAGTGAATCACTGCAGTTTTTAACTTAGTCACACGGTTGTTGAGTGAATCCGGCTTTTCCCATTGACTTTGCTGGTCGCAAAATGGGATCACTTGACCCCGGGACGTCATAAATATGAGTCAGTTGCCAAGCTTCTGAATTTTGATCACGTGACCATGGGGATGCTGCAACGGTCGTTAAGTGTGAAAAACGGTCGTAAGTCCCTTTTTTCAGCGCCGTTGTAACTTTGAATGGTCACTAAATGAATTGTTGTAAGTCAAGGACTACCTGTAAAGACTTTTCCCCATCTTCGACTATCCCCTCTGTGGAACTAAAGAGCCCCTTGTTAACAAACGGTTTGCATACTGCTGTTCCAGCCAAGGACCTTAGACTTTAGGAAATTAAACAAAATGAAATTTGGGGTGACTATTCCATCCTTGAGTGTCCCCTGGCATCTCTCACACGGAACTAGCTGACTTCCCGATTTCAATTTCTGAACTCAACACACACACACACACACACACAGAGCTTTATTAGCAGGAAAAGGAGAAGAGCTATTTTGAATATTAGAGAACTTTGCCAACAGTTAATTCTGCCACCTGCTTTTGCACTTACCAGCTCTAAATAAGAGAGACAATTTGTCATTCTGAACGCAAAGGTCACTCGGGATAATACAAGTCCCCCCCCTCAAGTGACCGGACTTTTGTGATTGCGTGACTGCTTCACTGTGCATGCCACAAATGCTGGAGGCTCAAGAATGCCCTAATCGTTTCGGCTAAATGAAGCTTGGAAACAACAGTTAATAGTTTGATTTTTTTTGGGGCGGGGAGCGGGGAATCAAAATGTATTCAAATGGTGCTTTTAGATTTGGTAGTTTCTGCAGTCTTTTGAGGGCGCAGCGCCACGCTGGTGGTAGAAACATGTATTTGAAGGCTCCTAGATAAGGAGTCGGCAACCTTAAACTCTCAAAGAGCCACAAAGGTCCTAACCGGAAGCCCCCCCCACCCCCAATTCAATTCTAGAGCCGACTGGAAGTCCGGTTCCCCCACCATAGTGTGTCCTCTTAGTGTGGCGTCCTTTTTCCTCTACCTGTCCTAACCGAAAGTCCTATCAATTGTGGAGCCGACCAGCAATAGGGAGCCGCAGCAGAGGGATGAAAGAGCCACATGCGGCTCCAGAGCCCTGCCCTAGATCATAAAAGGACCAAATAAGAAATCCTAGATGTCAGTATCCAAATCACTTTTCCCAGCCGTTCGGCTTAATTGCTGGCGATTCTCTACTGGTTTGCTATGAAAATAGAGCTGCCATATCTGGGCTGCACAAATTTGGGCGGCCGCCAGATGGCAGCAAAGAGTAGTGGCTTTCTCTATCTCCATCTAGTGGTTGCTTATTTTTTTGCAGCCTGATGCAAAAAAAAATGCCAAGGAATCTATCAACAGGTTGCCGAGAGACATTACTTCCATGCAAGCTACAACAGGTGCTTCTATGAGTCGCTCCATTTTGCTCACCTGGCTCCTTTGCACCTCTGAAACCACAGCTTTGAAACCATCCAACAGTTGTCAACGGTGCTACCAGCCATGGTGAGTGTGCCTGAAACTTTATTCAGTATTGGGCCTAAATCCAAAAACAATGGATAGCCAGTTTGGTCAAGGTCTGAACGCAGGAGACCATGAGTTCAAGTCCCATCTTAGGGAGGAAAGCCAGCTGGATGATTTTCAGTTAGTCCCTCTCTCTCAGCCTGACACACCTCATACGGCAGTTGTTGTGTGAAATATAGGAAGAGGAAGGTATGTTGGATATGGTTTCTGCCTTGAGTTATTTGTAAAATTAATACAGCCACCGTATTTTTCGGAGTATAAGACGCTCCGGACTATAAGACGCACCTACCTTTTTTGGTGAGGAAAACAAGAAAAAGAAATCTGCCTCTGCCTCCCAGCAATTTTGCTTTGTTGCAGCAAACAGCCTGCTTTACTTTCG